GCGGAAACCAACTGGGTTGTGAGGAATTTTGGCAGGAGGCAGAGGGGCAGGGGAGCCAGGGCGTGGTGCACCCCAGGGTGGCCAATGCCACCTTCCACCCCATCAGTGCCCCTCACCATCCATCGTATTTCCAGGGAGTCAACGCCAGGCAGTTCTTGGATCGCTCCGATGGCAAGCGACAGAGAACGCTTCAAATTACACTTGACACAAGACAAAGGCACCTAAAAAGCTTCACAATGTTGTGGGAAGGAGGCTCTGAGCGCTCGTGCTGCCACGCTGGCCAGGAGGAACCCCTGGAGTTGGGAGCACGTTCCGTGTCCCAGAGCCTGGTCCTGCAGCTGGGGGGGATTGGGGGGGTCAGTGCTGCTTGTAAACTGAAATTCAGGGAGGCTCTGCCCTCCAACTTTTGGGGGTTGGCCCTGGAAACGTGGGTCATGCAGACTCCAGGCTGTGCTTCCCTCATTATTTACAGTGACACAGGACGAGTTAATAGCGAATTCCGCAGGGACTGGGGAGGGGAGGGGGATTCTCCTCCATGAACTATGATTCCGTTAGATAAGGCACATGTAGAGAAAATATTCGAAAGATCACTTGCAAATCTGTTCCACCTAGCCAGGACCACCTCCCTGTATCCCTTTTCCAGGAGCCAGTTCTGTTTTCCAGTTGCTCAGGGTGGCTCTGGGGTGACCCCAGTGACAGCCCTGGGGTGCCCAACCCCTCCCAGATCCCCCACACGGAGCACTCCGGATCACTGGCCAAAAATCTGAGAGCCACAGGCTTGGGACGCTCACTCCCTATAAAAATATTGGGGACTGACCTCCCAGTTTTGAGAAAAAAAAAAAAAAAAAAAAGAAAAAAAAAATCACAGCAGGTTTTGAGGGGGAAGAGGAAACCCACAGGGACACGGGGAATTGGATGGCTCAGGCTCCAGGAGCCCTGCCTGGCGTGCAGGCACAGGGTGGAGATGAACGGTGAGGGGGAGGCCAGGGAGGAAACAAGCCCTCTCAGCAGCTTCATCCTCCCTCCAGCTGATCCCTGGAGAAAGGCAGCAGTGCCCAAGGCCTGGCTGGAAGGTAAATGGGGATTCTGGTGCTGAGCCCTGCCCCGGGGAGCCCATCCTGAGCTGGGCTTCCACCTGGGGGTTTCCAGTGAGCAACCACCAACCTGATGAGATGAATCTGCACCTCGTGAAGCACGAAAGGATCCGGCACAAAGCTTTGGCAGCGGGGAAGGCAGGACTTGGGGCACCAGGGACAGTCTGAGCCGGGCAGAGGAGGACTCCTGTGGCCTTCACATCCCGGCAGCTCCCGTTCCCAGGGGGGTTCACAGATCCCTTCCGTGTCACTGGTACCACATAATTTAAGTGTTGCATTTCCCTTAGAGTGAAAAATTCCACATTATTCATCCAGGAGAGTAAACACCAGTTGCTACTAAAGCTGGGATCGCTGGGGGGATGGGTGCTGTGCATTCCAGGGAAGCTGAGCAGGAGCAGCTGTGATTAGTGTTGCCTTTTTAAGGGATGGTCAGGAGAGGATTCCCTCGAGGACGGGCAGGTGTTGAAGGGTTTGTTCCTCAGTCTGCAACGAGGCAAATACTGGTAGCTCAAGGCAAAACAAAAAGCTTTGTGCCACGGCCGTGCAGTGGAGGTGGGAAGGGCTGGCAGGATCTTCCACGGGGACCAGGAGACAAGAACCAGAAAGGTCCCAAAAAAGGTGACTGGGGTGCCTGGAGCGGGGGCAGGGGGGAATGCAAATGATCTTTTCCAATAACAAGAATAAAAAGACCAAAAAGGAGAGAATCCAGGCAGTTTGCAGCTGCTGCTGCTGCTTAAGGCCATTGGTTTCCTGGGGGGTAGTTGGGCACTGTGGGATACTCTGGCAGGCTGTTCCCAGAAAAATTGCTGTACTGGGCCTCCCTGCTGGGGGGGTTCCTCCAGGCACCGCTGTTCCACTCGTCCTGAGCCTTCTGGAAGCTTCCACCACCCCCTCGGTAGATTTTATGTACCTGATGGAGGGAAGGGAGAACAGGAGTCACCACCAGGAGCCCTCAGCCCTGCAGCCACCTGGACCGAGGATTTGTTCCTCTCTCTGTGCCAAGAGCTGCATTTCTGAGGAACAACAGCACTAAAAATGCAGAACTACAGAGAACAGAGGTGGAAATAAATGGTATTAACACCAGGCTTGGACCCATTCCAGCCACATGCCCGGATTTGAGGTGAGGGATCCCTCTCCCAGCAAGGCAGCCAGAGGTGAGAGGGCTGAAACCTCTCCAACACTGACGCTGCTGCTGCTTCCTTGGGGCTTCTTCCCCTCCTCTTCCATCTGCCAAAGCTCTCCAGACAGGCCCACCTCCAAATCCTTCTTTCTGCAGAGGACCACTTCCCACCCTGCCACCAGTCCCCACTGCAGGGGGAAATTAAGGAATTGCTCAGGTTGGAAAAGACCTTTAAGGTCACCGAGTCCAACCATCAGCCCCGCACCAACACCACACCACGTCCCCCAGGGCCACATCCACCCATTGTCTCAACACCTCCAGGGCTGGTGACTCTACTACTGCCCTGGGCAGCCTGTTCCAAGGCTTCACAACCTTTTCCACGAAAAAAAAAAAAGGTTCCTAATACCCTCATATCCAATCTAAACCTCCCCATTTCACACGGCCTCGAGTCGCTTCACACGAAGCGGCTGAGGGGCGTGGAGTGACATCCCCACGTGGCACAGTGGCAATGTCCAGCCTGAGCTGCCTTGTGCTGTCTGGATTTGTCTTCTAGGAACCCCAGGAGACACCAGCTGACCACACTGACCATCCTTTCAGAGCAGTGGTGGCTGCTGAGCTGCCTCTCCGCATTGCAGACAATCCGAGTCAGAGACAGATCTGAAGGACCCCACAATGGTTTGGGCCAGGAGGGACCTTTAAACCCCATCCCATTCCACCCCCACCCCTCCCACGAGAAGAACCCACCCTCAAGATGCAGACGAGCATGGCCACGGCTGACATGGTGAACATGATGGCAGGGAACAGCATGAACACGGCGGCGGCCACGTTGGTGCTGAAGAAGGTGATGGCTGCCAACCACCCGCTGCAGGAGGCACAAGGAGAGAGGTAAAGTCATTAAAACTCTCTTTGCAAGGTGTCCTTGTTGTCAGAGGTGGGCAGGCCCTGGCACAGGTTGCCCGGAGAAGCTGTGGCTGCCCCATCCCTGGGAGCGTCCAAGGTCAGGTTGGAGCAAAGGAGCAGCCTGGGATAGTGGGAGGTGTCCCTGCCCGTGGCAGGAGGTGGGATAAGAGGGTCTCTAAGGCCCCTTCCAACCCAAACCATCCTGGGATTCATGGCCCAGAAATTACAAGGCAGCTTTAAAAAGCTCTTGGGAATGAAAAGAGCAACGAGGAAGATGGACGGATTGAAAAGCAGGGATTTCCCCAAGCTCTCAACTCTCACTGGCCAGCACCCCTTGCTAATCCACTCTCAGAGCTTCAGGGGACAGCCAGCTGCGCAGAGTTTGGGGAGAGAGCTCTGAAAGCAAAGTGTCCCAGGGTGTGCTGGGCCTTTGCATGACTTGTTGTTTCAGCAGGAATCGCCCTCAAGCTGCCACAGGATGTTAAAATGCCAAACAAACGCCCCGAGGCTGCCAGAGGTCCAGGAGCCTTTGGATGATCCTCTGGGGCACAGGGTGTGACTCCTGGGGATGGGCCTGAGCAGGGCTGGGGGTTGGACTGATGATCCTTGAGGGTCCCTTCCAGCTCAGCACATTCTGGGATTCTGTGAAACAATTATAACAGAGCCAGGGACAGACACCAACACACTCCCATTTATTTTAGGAGAACTCTCACAGTTCCTCTCCACAGGCCAACAGTGAGTCCATCCCCCCCTGCTCTGCCAGCACTGAGGGCAAAGCTGAGCCTGGTTAAACGGTGAAAGGAACGGGCACCGAGGGAAGGTGCTGGAAAGAACATGCAGGTGAAGATCACAGAATCCCAGGATGGTTTGGGTTGGCAGATCCAGTCCCATGCCCTGCCACGGGCAGGGACACCTGGCACCAGGTTGCCCCAAGCCCCATCCAACCTGGCCTTGACTCCTGCCAGCACAGCGAGGGAACCCGAACTGTGCCCCCCAAGGGCAGATAGAACTGTGCCCAAGGGAAAGCTGAAAGCTTCTCCCACTCCACCCCGTACAGACCCCCCCTCCCCAGGTTCTCAAAAAAGCAGGGGGAAGAGCCCCAGGCTGAGGGTTTGCTGCCAGAGCCCCCCACTTACCACGCCCCCCATCCGGAGAAGCCGATGGCCTGCAGGACCGTGAGGACGAACTGCGCCCCGAAGATGAAGAAAAAGGCCATGAAGTTAAAGGAGCTGTCTGACCTGCAGAGGGACAGAGGAGGGACAGAGGGGGTCAGGGGGGCACTGCCACCTTGTGCTGCCTCACACTGGTGTCTGGCCCCACCAATGGGGTGTCTCTGGAGGGATCCCTGTGCTGGGGAGGTTCTTCCTCTGCCTCTGGCAGGGGCAGCACACAGCTCCACAGCTCAGCAGCACCCAGTAACTGCACTAGGATGACACACAGGGAGAGACAAGAGTCTCCTACAGCGCGTTTGAATCCTTCTCTGACCAAACATCAGCCCAGCCTGACGCTGCCCAGCTCACCACTGGCACCTAGCTCACCCTACTAAACCAGCTACGTCAGGCACATCTACAAGTCCCCAAACTACCATTTTTAATTATACAAACGATTCCCATCCTCTCAAGAACTCCCAAGTGCCAATGATTTTTACATCTTTACAGCTTTACACCAAGCAGCTGACTGTGAGGCAGCCTGGTGCAAAGGAGCTCCAGTCACTGCCAGCTCCCGCCTAAACCCTGACAGTGTTTAAATGTTTATTATTTTAATTATTTTTATTATATTTGCGTTTGTCAGTGTCATCATTCTAGCCCCTGACACCCAAGGGAGTGGGACCCCAAGCTCGGGCTCCTGGCTGGTCTGAGACACACGGGAGGTCCAGGCATCTGCCAGCTTCCAAATGGTGGCCACAGCGATGCTGTGGGAGATTTGTCACCCTGGAGCCTCCTCCCACAGTCCTGCCCTTCAAACACCACCTCAGAGCACAGCCATGTGAAAGAAACCCTTCAGACAGGGCCTGCTGACAGCGGTGCCTGCCCGAATCCAATTAGCAGGGATCAGGCTCCAGGCTGAGCCTTCAAACAAGGCTCTCGCAACTCCGACCCGAAGGGGCTGGAGGAGTCTTCAGTTGAAAGGATCTGCAGGAATTAGTGAGGATACAGAGAAAAGGTGATTCCTCATCCAGCTTTTCTGGTGCAGATTTGCTCCAGCTCTGCCCGAGCCCCGGGGCTCTGCAGTTAATTTAATTTGGGATGTGTCGGAATGCCGAGGGTTTTAGGGCAGCACCCACTGAAGGGTGGCCTCCTCCAGAGCACCCCAGGGCTGGCCTGGCCTCTGGAATCACGAGCTGTGATCCCACACCAGCAGTGCAGGGATTTCCAAGGCCTCCTCCCCAGCTGATGCCGCAGTGGATGATCCCCTGGGCTCCCCACTCTGTCCCGGGGGTGATTCCTTATTTAACTGTGCACAGAGTAACCTGGGGGACCTTCCAGCTTCCAGTTGCATAAACACACACAAACAACATTAAAGAAATAATTAGAAACAGCCCTTGTGGGGCACAGGGGAGGTCAGTGGGGAGGAGTAATTTTTCCCAGACTTCAGAATGGAAATTCCCTCTCTGAACGGGGGCCCTCGGGCTCCTGAGCCTGGGATGGGGACAAAGCCCAGCCCCAGAGGGCAGCAGCTCAGAGTGGGGTTTTCATGGCATTTACAACTTCCTTTTCCACCAGAAATAACCCTCCTCTGTACTCCACCACGGAGCCACTGGTGATTTAAGCACTGCTGGCACACAAATCCAGAAGAACATTTGAACAACTAATTTATGATGTGCCAAACAGAGGGGACCCGCCTGCCACCTCCCATTTCCGTCAGCTCATCACAGAACCTGGGGGATACTCAGAATCCAGGGTATTCCACCGGGAAGAGCTTCCCCCTCAGGGTGCAAACCCCTGACTGGGGTGTGCTGGTGACACCAGGCAGGTCCCTCCTGCCCCTGTGTCAGGCTGGAAGCTGCTCAGGCCCCTCCCAGCCCTGCCAGACATGTCACATCAACGTCTGAACGATGCCCCCTGTCCACAGCAAGCACGAACAAAATGCAAATGATTATTAATTAAAGTGAAAATGCAGGATGGCTTTAAATATTTGTGGGGTTTCAGAAGGACTGGCTCCGGGGAGCTGCTTTCATCTGAAAAGCAAAGCAGTCGAGCACTCGAGCAGCTCAAGGAACCACGAGAGCCCTCAAAAACTAATAACTTAATAGTCTGCCATCAAAATCAGCCTCAGTGAAGCTCTACCAAATTAGTGTCTGTTTTAATGCTGTACTGAGATGAGGGTGCAGCTAAGCTTGAGAGATTTAAGTGAAACACGAATTTCACCCTCCTGGGAGTGGCTGCTCACCTCCAGCCCCAGGGGGGTGACCCTCAGTCCTACCAAAAGTAACCGAATTCTTCCATTTTCAAAGCAACCAAGGGGGGGAAAAAAAAAAATCTTTATCCCAGACACAGAGATCTCTCCAGGAGCACTTCCCAGTGACAACAGAGCTCTCTCCCAGAGGAAACTGGGAGAGAACCCCCCCTGGTGGGCTCCTACTCACCGGAAGGCTTTGTAGGCAGGTCGGAACCAGCAGACGTAACCGCAGGGGCTGAAGAGGAGGAGCCACAGGATGGCCAGGCCGAAGTTGACCCCGTAGCCTCCCCCGATCCACCAGGCCAGGCAGGCAACGATGTTCACGGCCAGGGTGATGCAGTAAACTGGGGAGAGGGCAGAGGACAGAGCGTGGGGCAGTTCCATGAGTTTGGGGGGAAAGGAAACGAAAAACAACCGCTGGAGCTGTGCCAGGGGGGTTGGGATGGATCTCAGGGAAAGGTTCTTCCCCCAGAGGGTGGTGGGCACTGCCCAGGCTCCCCAGGGCAGTGGGCACGGCCCCAAGGCTGCCAGAGCTCCAGGAGCGTTTGGACAACACTCTGAGGGACAGGGGGGGATTGTTGGGGTGTCCTGGGCAGGGCCAAGAGTTGGACTGGATGGTCCTTGTGGGTCCCTCCCAGCTCAGGATATCCCAGGATTCTGTGAAAGCCCCTGTGCTGTGATGGGAAGGGTCCCTGTCTCTGTCTCTGCTTCCCTGGGCCTCTGAGGAGTCCTGGAAGTCAGCCTGAGGCCTTGGAAGTGCTGCCTTGAGTGAGGGGATAAGCAAACTCCAATTAGGCTGAGAATATGGGACCAGGGGGGTGCCTTAAAGGCCTTTACCCATCCCTGTTGCTGTCACTTGGATAAAAAGGAGCAGTTGACACAGCCCCCCCGAGCGCAGCAGTGCTGCACTAAGTAGCTGTGCATGGAGTGCTGCTGCTCCCCCCTTTCCCTGGAGCTCACATCCCTGGAAAAGGGGGCTGCTCCCCCCCTGGCATTGGCAGGCTGGGCTCAGCCCCGTGCCAGGGGCTCCCTGCTCTCCTCCCTGCATCCCCCCAGGCTCTGCCAGCAGAGCCTCAGCCCAACTACGAGCTCCTGCTTTGGAAAACAGGTGGTGACTCCTAAAAAACCTGCACAAATGAGCACAGAGGGAGGAGAAGGTGGAGGGCCCAACCAGCAAAGAGCCTCCAGCACAGCTGGTGATGGATGAGCTGACAGCGACACTTTGGACCTTGGCCTCGGTTCTTTTGGGCAGAATCAAACCCCTGGATTTCTCTTCGCCTGGCCTGCCTGTTCCTTGTTCCACTACACGCTCATCTGCACACCCCTGGCCTGCTCCTTCTGGCTCTTCCCTTTCCTACCAGGATTTCTGGCCATCAAATCCCACTGACAGCACAGTGAGGAGAATGCAGCGTGGAAAGGAGAGCACCTGAACTCAGCTGCTGCTTCTGACTTACCCCGGGCCTGAGAGTTAAAATGAAACACTGGCTACTGCAAAGAGAAATTTCTTCTGAGTGGCCAACAAGGCTTTATACACAGTGGTTTGGATGTGGTTTAACACTGGGGGGAAGATGGAACGTTATTTATTTTAATTAATTAATTTTGGGTATTTAAACCAACAGGCTTAAACACAGGTTTAACTCTCCATCCCTGGAAGTGTCCAAGGCCAGGTTGGACAGGGCTTGGAGCACCCTGGGCTGGTGGAAGGTGTCCCTGCCCATGGCAGGGCATGGAACTGGATGGGCTTTAAGCTCCCTCCCAGTCCAAACCAGTGTGGGATTCTGGGATTCTATGGAACTTCGTTTATACAGCAATTAGCTGCACTTCAAATCCTTATTTTCAGAAGTCATTTATTCTCCAAAAGTCAATTAAAAAAAACCACCAAAACCAAAAGCAAACCAACACCACCAAGCCAAGAGCACCTCTAAAGTTTTAAGGAACTTTTAGTTTACTTCAGTAGAGTTTGAAGGCTCTCCCAGTGCCCTCAGCTTGGAGTTTGTTCTCCAGCAGTGGGAGCTCTGGTCCAGCTTCCCCAAAAATCCCCCTCCACCTCAACCAAACGCTCACAACCAATTAATACAACGAGCACCCACCCTCCCAGCAGCGACTTTTGCGCTGCTGCTTTTTAAAACTGGCCCTTTTTTTTCTCGTTTCCCACCTTCCCTGGGCCTGCCCCTCCCTCTGTCCCCTGCCAAAAAACCCCAAAAACTCGGGGAGACCCCGGTGCTGCCGATGGAAACGTGAAACTCCCGGTGCAGATTTGGCCATGCCCAAATCCCTGGCAGCCTTCCAGCCTGCCATGAACTCCGCTGACGGGACTCTTTGTCCGGGGAGAGGGGAGGACAAAAGAGGCTTTGGAGCCGCAGCCTCGGCCCGGCGAGTCTGGAGGGACAGGCGGCTTCTTCAGGCGAGAAAATTACAGAGCTCATTGCAGCAGCTCCCCAGAAGCAGAGGACAATGGGGCCAGTGGATTATGCCATTATTTGTGCACACAAATCCCTCTCCTACACACACCCCACGCAGCTGGAATGAAAGCCACGCCACGGAGCGCGGGGCTGGCAGACAACGCGCTGTTCCTCCGGCGAGGAGGGCAGAGAGAGGAAAAAGATAAGCAAGGCAAAGAGGGGTTTTTTTTTTTTAATCTCCCAAAGCGTTCCCTGTGGTTTCCTGGGCCTGCCACACCGATTGCAGTCCCTGGAGGAGAATGGTCTTGTTTCCATTCCCGCTTTTTGGAGCGGCTGAGGCGGGGAACGGGAGCCCAGGGGCAGGAGCTCTGTGCCCGTGGGATGTCAGCACATCAGCAGCGGGGAGGGAGGATCAGCTCCCTCCTCCAGCGGGGTGGGGAACGCCTGGGGGGCTGGGGAGAGATGAGGAAGAGCCAGCATGTGGCTAGAGGACACTGCATCCACTGGGGAGGGAGATGTGTGGATGGCACCAGGGGAAACTTGAGCCTTCCCAGAGCGGGTTTCGGAGCCAGGGAGCAGCAAAAGGGCCCACACGGATTTCCTTGCCTAAAATTCTCCTGTTCCTCTTACTTTAGGGGAACTGGGGATTTCCTCAGTGTGGGTAATTTGGGGAGTTCAAAAAGGCTGGAGAGGGACTTTGGACAAGGGATGGAAGGACAGAACAAGGGGGAATGGCTTCCCAGTGCCAGAGGGCAGGGTGAGATGGGAGATTGGGAAGGAATTGCTGGCTGTGAGGGTGGGCAGGCCCTGGCACAGGTTGGGCAGAGCAGCTGTGGCTGCCCCTGGATCCCTGGGAGTGCCCAAGGCCAGGTTGAATCAAAAGAGCAACCTGGAACAGTGGGAGGTGTCCCTGCCCATGACAGGGGGTGGGATGGGATGAGCTTTAAGGTCCCTCCCAACCCAAACCATTCCACAATTCCACCATCACTTGATGTTAACAAAGACATCAAATGTATTCTGCATTTTCCCCTCTTCAGATTAACTGAACCTTCTAGCACTGGCACTCTCCTTTCTTTCCAGACTCTTCAAAGGTTCAAGGCACAGCAGTTCAAAGTTTAGGCAGAGTATTCAAGTTAAATTAAGTTTTAAGTTATATTACAGTGTTCTAAGAGGAATCCTTGCTCCTCACCAGCCAATCGCACTCAAAACCTCAAAGCACACAAGCCACTGGGATCTGGGGGGGAGGTTTTTATCCCACACACACCCTTGCCCAGCCCAGGTTTCTCGCTCAACTTACAGATCCAGACGTGGTAGATCCTCTTCACCAGGAACTGGTGGTCGATGGGGATTTCATCGGCGAAGTTCTGGTAGAAACAGGGCTTCAGGGGGATGAACTTGGGCAGGGGGGGGAAGTTGTTCACCTTTTCTGCAACACAGAATTCAGGATGAGGTTTATTTTGGGACAGGCAAAGGCTGGGAGAGGAGAACAGGAGCGACCTAACGTGGATTTAGCGCCTTGACACAGGACAAAAAAAAAATTCACCAGGATGAGGTCCCTTAGAAAAAAATTAGAAGGAGTTTTAAGGCCCCCTCCAACCCAAACTGTTCTGGGATTCCAGGATTCTATGTCAGGAATTATTTTTTTTTTTTTTAAAGACTCATGATTTTCAATGAAAAAAGGGGCATGTTCAACTTTTTTTTTGTTTTTTTCCCTGCAAGGTTAAATCCCAGAGGGGGGAAAAAAAAAAAAGGCAAATAAAAAATAAGAAAAAAAGCTTTGCATTCAGACACAATAAATCAGCGAGCGCTGCCAAAGGCAACGTGGTGAAGAAAACCCTACCTTGGGAAGAAACTGTGTTTTAAAATGGAGTAATTAAATGCCTAAATCCTCTGCACTGAAGCTGCTGTCAGCTCCCAGCTTTGTCTGTGTGTGCCTGGACGTTCCTGCATGCTGGGGAATGTTTGCTCTTGCCTCGCAGAGCTGATTAAAGTTTGATTCCAGGGCATTGTGACTAATTGTCTCTCGTCTCCTTCAGCCCCAGTAAACAGAGTTAAAAACAACCAGAGGAAGAGATGGAGGATGTCCTGGGAAAACCTCCAAATGGCACAGGAGACGAGGGGGAAATGTCTGAACAAGAACTGTCAGCAGAGCTCCCGCTCTTCCTTTTGTCTCCCTGGGAGAAGACGATTTGCAGCTCCAGTGGAAGTTTGGGAAGGGAAGAGCCTAAAGCTTCAGCCAGGCTTTGGGAAGGAAGAGCCTTCCCCCTGTGCGTATCTTGACACAGAAAACGTGGGGAGGGAAACCTCCAGTGGGAGCCCAGCAGAGGCAGCTGTGGAACAGCCACCAGCCCGGTTTGGCTTCTCCTCGCGCAAACAAACACCAGTTGTGCTGCCCCTCCTCACCCACCTCCCCCAGCCCCACTCTGCACCAGTGCAGCTGCCCCCTGAGCTGGCTGCAGTTACTGGTTAACCCCCTGCTGCTGCCCCCACCACGTGCTGTCAGAGGCCAGGGGAATTTGGACTCCTCAGCACTGGTTTTTTGTGTTTGCTGTCAGCATGCAGATTGTTCCCGTGGTTCTGCTCCCTTCCCGTTTTCTGCCAGTTTCTAACGCAGATGGTGG